CAAGGCGAAATTCAGTTGTTTATATTTTGAGTATCGCTTCCGATTTTACCGGAAATAGACCGAAGCGGAAAATTTACAATGGAAACCTGTAGAGATCACAAGTAAACATTTGCTCTCAAAATGGCGGCGTAGGGCACATTCCTAAAATCAATATGGCGACACTCTGACGTCATCATCGATCGAATTTTCGTCACGCAACCTAATAAAATAGCAAATAAACAAAGCACTTTGATAATTTTTTGATAGAACATGTGAACATTTTGATTCATCGCCATACAGAAATTGTTGTTTTCAAAATAAAAATCAAAGTATGAATCAGAACCTACAGATAAATTCTTGACTCACAACCACGCCTCTTGTTTTTAGGCTTAGGCTTTAAAAATAGTTATTTATTATACAAGGGAAAAAGTAGTAGATTTTAGCTCCAGGTTGTGTTGTCTCCCGACGCGTAGCGGAGGGAGACAAAAAAACCGTGCATTCGATCTGAGCACCCGGTATGTCCATATTTACCTTTTCGTACGTGAAAAGTTACGCCCTCTTAAAATTTCGACGAAATAAATAGGAGTATGTGAACATTATGAGACTACCGTAAGCCGCATAGGCATCAAACAATAACCAGTACTTTTCGAATTATCTTAAAAACAAATGATTTTATGGAAATTTTACAGGAGACAAAAAATACTGAAAAATGATCGAACATTCGAAGGAAAATAGATAGGAAGTCATTAGCGCACGTACAAAAAATATGGGGGTAAGTGTGCACTTGACCCCCAGTATTTTGAATATTTGACAGATATTTTTTGTTCTGTTTTCCTCACACGATGTAACCCTTTGTGCTGAAGTAATGTACCGATTTTAATATTTATATATCTTCAAATACGCGAGTAATTAAAGAAGAACAATTTTTGATTTCCACCTTTGACACCCTGTATATCGAATATGGAGGGCTAAAATGGGAAATGGTATCAAGAAACTCATATTGTTTTTGTTCAAGGAATATAATTATGGTTGATGGATTGACCTCCTTTTAGCGGACACCCTGTATATTAGGTATGTTCAGAACGAAACAGAGATTTATTAATTTTGATCGAAATATGATGGTTGTAGTCGGAGCTCGATTACTCGTGTTCTATAAATAACTAGAAACTTGATTCAAATAAGGTCCATAACTAGAAATTATTGACGCATATACAGGGTACACTGAAAAAAATCTAGAGGATCAGGATCACTTTCTTTAATGGAATGCCCTGTATATTAGCACATTTTTGGAAGCATCCCTGTGACCACTGTCCACTCCAATAATATCGTTGACTATATCTCGATCATTTCAAAGTTTTTTTTTTTAATTTAAGAGATAATAATCATAATATCAGTTGATAAAAAAATGCATCATATTTCTGCAGAATTTTCAAATCGGGACTTTTCGAACTGATTTCTCTCGAGTTTTTCAAATGGAACACCCCATATATTTTTCGGGGATTTGGTGTAAAATCGAAACTCGAGCATATTTCATCTCAACATCCATATTGATATTCGTAACAATTTTCGAATTATTGAACTTCGAAAATTATAGGTTGGCCATTTTCATGGATATGTACAGGGTGATTCACTATAAATGTCCCCCCCTCTAGCTCAGTTATTTTTGAACCGATTTTGAAATTTGAAATATCATCTTGAATGATTTTCTATAAAGTTTTTTTCCGCTAGATCAGAAAATACAGGGTGCTCGGAACAAACGATCTACAGGGTACTATTTGATTTTTTTAAATGGAACACCCTATTTTTCATTGTATTTTTAGATTCTCCCTGGAGAGCTGATTTGATCAATTTATCACACTTGGGGTCTAGCGGGACTGATTACAGAGATATAGGGTGTTCAAAATCGAGATTTTTCAACTTTAGGATTTTTTTGTGAGGAAACTATTCATTATCGGTCGAAACGGTTTTCATGTTCGTTTCTTAACTTTTGATTTACTATCTACTGACATTTAATAATTGGAGCAGATACAGGGTGACCAGAATTCTGAATCTTGAACCACCCTGTAAATGTTCCAATTAAATGTCACCAGATAGTAAATCAAGGGTTGAGATGGGAACATAGGAGCCGTTTTGACCAATAATGAATAGTTTCGGCACAAAAAAATCCTGAAGTTGAAAAGTCTCGATTTTGAACACCCTATATCTCTGTAATCATTACCGCTAGACCCCAAGTGTGATGCATTGATGAAATCAGCTCTTCAGGAAGAATCTAAAAATACAATAAAATACAGGGCGTTCCATTTAAAAAAATCAATTAGTACTCTGTAGATCGTTTGTTCCGAGCACCCTGTATTTTCTGATGCAACGAGAAAAAAAATTCTGAAAAATCATTTTAGATCATCTTTCAAATTTTTAAAACGGTTCAAAAATAAGTGAGCTAGGGGGGGGACATTTATGGTGAATCACCCTGTACATTCTCATATGTAATTGAAACATTGAAGTCTAATTAATAATTTAGTAAACCAGGTTTTTTATTGAAAGAATTGTTGCCAGAATCAAAGCAAACAGAAATAGTTCATATGCTAGTTATTCACAAAGTGAAAAATAACTAAATTTCCATTTTGCATAATATCATGTCAATAGTTCAATGTTTTTATAATGTGCTATGAATTTATGGGATATTTAAAAAATGTCATGTTTTTCCTTCCTTAGCTCCTCTGTCAACCTGGAGCTAAAATCTACTACTTTTTCCCCTTGTATAATAAATATTATTTTCTACTTTTATTCAGTTTCGCTACCTATAAAAGTTTGTTCATTCAGGGTTTTAAATTACTATTTATTTATAGTTGGAAAATATAATGGGTCGTCTATTCGCGATAAAAAATAAGCGTACGCTACCCATCGGAGTACTTGAAAGCTGTCAAAGCGGCCTGTTTACTTCGTTTTCATTGGTTCACATTTGTTTTTTGTTTGTGCTTATTGGTCCCATGATCAAAACAAACCGCTCAGAAGTGTTCAAGTCGTTGCCGTCAGGTGGAGCGACGTGTTATTTTCTATCGTGAATCACCAAATTGGGTTTATCATGACGTCACGTCGCATATTTTACTCCCAGAGCTTCTCCCCGAACCTTTTCATGTGATACCTCAACAAATGAAGATATTACAATGTCACATGATTGAACCCATCCAAATACTTCTTATATATTCATTAAAGTTGTGAAATATCAATATACACAGTATGCCTGAAAAAGTTGGCAATAAATGGAGAACTTTTTTTATTGCTGATTTTAGGAAAGAGAGTAATTCTTCATAAAAAGTTCTACAAAGCCTAAAATCGAAGATGCAAGTATCAGATATCGTTTTTTTTTTTCAGCGGTATACGAGGTATGTCAAAAAATATTGATTTGCCCAAGAGGAAAGTACCGTTATTTTCGACTACACCGAAAATTATAAGAAAGAAAAGTTGCCTGGAATTGAAAACTATGTTCAAATATTCAATTCAAAATTATGTTTCATTATTTTTCACAACTTCTGACGGTTGCAGTATATGGCCATAGATAAAGTATAGTATATATATAATGCGTGTTGTAAAGCAATTATTATGCACGCATGCGTTATTTTTTATATTTTGCGGTTCACAACACTCATTATGTAATATACTATTACAAATCTTGTAAACCTGCTGAGTTCTAAGCAATGAAAAGATATGTGCTGCCATTTGACTCACCTACAAAACATAGTTATTTGTTCTCTCTCATTTCCAGCACCTTTAATATCATCCCATTCATGTGAAGAAAATTGTCTACTCATTATCCTGAAGAATTCAGAAAGAGATTTTACTCCAGAGTATCCTAGTTTCATTACATCAACACCCAGCATTATGTCCCCAGTCTGTCCCACACAAACAGTATAGTTTCCATGATGAGACACATTGAAATTCAGTTTTGGACCACTAGGGTCATCACCCAATACTGGCTTCCCTTTTTCATCTCTCTCAAATTTTATTTCATTATATTTCTGATTAGATGCTTCAGAAACAAATTTTCGTAGCATCAATAGTCCAATTAGAGATGATTTAAGGTCTTTTTTGAAAACAAATCTTGCTAAACGTTTTTTTTCTTCAGATTGAATACAGGAAGAAGCAAGTAGTATATCAGATCGTGAAGGACTCCATTTGGAGAAATTGAATACCCATCTAACACAGTTGGAATTCATTTTATTGAAATGTCTACAGATGAATTTCTTGTGGATGTCTTGTAAATCATTCAGATGTCTCCACCTATCAAAAAAGAATAAACTTTGTTCACACCCACAGTGTTTTTACAGAGCAGAATCAAAATTTTGTATGACATATAAAACATTTCCAGGAGATATTATTATAATATAATCCGAGATATAATCCCTTAAATATGATCATCAAGCAACATTTCATTATGGGTATTCTTCCATGAATACTGAAAGAAATTTGATATATTCTAAATTGTCATTATTTTTGTATCAATCTTATGCAATGGAACATATTTTCTGGCATATTAATTTCACTTTTGAAAATGTTATAAGTTATTGCCAAGTAAAACTACTTTGAGACCTATAAAAAAATCACACCACATATTGTTATTTTGGTGAAATAACCTTTTAAAACTGTTGATTTCTGCAGGCTATAAGATGCATTAACTCATACCTTTTTCCACTTGTGGTACTAGCTTGATTTTTTCCTTACTGAATGCTAGTGGCTTCTCTCATCATATTTGATTATTCAAGGTAGGATATACACTAGGTGCATGATTTCAGTCAAATGGAAAATGGTATCAGTGAAATCAGGTAGATACAATAATACAAATCAAGATACAACTCTACCAAAGGTAGTATGGGATCTTACATTTACATTCCTCAGTCTTATGTACTTCCAAATTGTTTTTAATTATTCTTGGTATACAGTTCTATGAAAATATTTTGAGCTGTATTTCCATCCACAAATGTTCATAGAATTAATGATTTAGAGAGGACTTATGACTTGCTTACCATATAATACTGCATTTTCTGGACCTCTTTCATTCATGGAAGATGTAGCACTTATTGCAGCCCGACTTAAAAGAGGCGTGTTGCATTCATATTCGTTGTAGTACTCTAGAAATTATGATTCAATACAAAAATGAAATTGATGACTCATTCATAGAATAATCATAATTTATAAACGGCAGGTATTAGGTAGGTATTTATGATATTTTCCAAGGAATGATATAGTATTGTTGAATTATAGTCCAATGAAGGGTATTGAGAAGCTGACATACCCATAGGATCCAAAAGATTTCAAATTTGATTCAGAAACAACAGAGGAACTACTTATATTTACAAATAACACTGGGTTAAAATACTAATACTCCATACTTGTACTCAACTGATTTTTCAATTATTTTGTTTTGCAGAATATTACATCAATGAACAATACTCACGTGCTGAAATTAAATGTGTAATAGAAAGGCACAAAAATAAATAAACATTGAAGACCACCATTGCTACAACATGACAAAACACCAACACCCAAATTTTTAAGCAGAAATAAGAATTCCAGAATGCACATTTGACACTAATTGACTATTTGACATTTGTACAACTTGCGCAAGCGCACTTTGCCTGTGACAATTGACGTATAGTCACAGTTACACTGTCAGTGTCAGTAATGTCACACATGCTTCCAAGATTGATAAACTGTACAGGCTGCTTTATAACTTTTCGTTGTGTACTGACGTCACCTTGCCGACGTGATTCGTAATTTTCTTACAGGATTCCGTGGATTTTTCGCTGCGAGCGTTTTCAGCGTTTTTTAAGATAAGTAGTAATTCAATAGGACATGGTTCTGTACATATGTTCCTATAGGTTGAGAGGTCCCGGATGTATGTATAATTTGAATAATTTCAGCGCCAATTATTTTAAAACATGCATTTTCCGATATTGACTATGATATTATTAATTTATTATTGAAAAGACAAGATTTATGTTTGAAAAACAACGGAAATGAATGTGAAATTCCGTCTCTAAAATAATGACAGTTCACTTAAGGTAACTTATCTCTGTCCTGGGTGAGACCTTTTCTATAGCCCAAAGTCCTGCACTGTAGCAATTTTGAGGTCACCTCAGTATAAATTTCCGTGCTGAAGGCACATTCATGCGAAGTTCAATCATCTAAATTCATTTGAGGTGGCAGGTTAGTTTTTTTTTAGATTTTTATTCAATTTTCGAGATCAAATTTCTCGTTGATTGAAAGAATTAGGAAAAATCTGATATGGAAATATATTTCATCAATTTTCTGAATATAAAAACTCATTTCGAAAACACCTCGTATAGATAAGAAAATGAAAGAAAATATCCTCAAATGTCTCTTCACTCCACTCCGTATACCTACTATCGATATCGGAATTTGTCATACTTGTTCAAGAATTAATCGGTTGAAAGAATGACGTAACTAATTAGTCATTTGATAATTAATCAAACCTTTTATTCGTCTGAGAATCAAACCCATCAGCAGTCTCGTTCTAGACTTCTTCGCGCACGGTCGATTCAGGTGATGATTAAAAAAGAACTCGAAGTATATTTGAGAGTGGAAAATTCATATTCCGCTTAGTGATTTTAATTTGAGTGTGTGGAAGTTGTAGTTTTTCAAGGGTGTCCCATTCAAAAAAACTCATCATTATCAGCCGATATCTTGGAATTCGTGCATCTTTGCTATAACTGTTGTATTTGAATGTTGTCTGAATATCTGACGGTTTGACTAATATTGAAAGAGAACACACTATTGACTCATCGTATATACTAATAAAGACCCTGATTTTTTCATTGAGGGAATATTTGATTTTTTTTTTTACCCCTGGTAAAACTACATGAAATTTGATCTTCCTGGAATTGATCGTTTTGAAAGGTGACGTAACTAATCAGTCATCAAAATAATAAATCAAATAAGCTAGCCACTCACTAGTCGTATATTAGTTTTCGTCGCGTACGGTCGATTCAATTGGTATCAGAAAATAACTTGTATCATTTCATTTGAATCGTGAAGTTTCAATACTTGAGCAGTTTGTTCGATTCACCATATACTGAAATTGACCCGGTATTTTTTATTGTACGTATCTTGAAAATTTATTCTAACTTCCTGTACAACAATTTTTCCATATAAACTTCTGATATAATATTTAATACCACAGGCCGAAGCCTATATGTGTTATGTGTAGGCTTCGTTACTTACGCCATACGCCCCTTTAGGAGCAGCACTGTTAACTGAAACCTAACAGCGAATCCTGCGGAATCATATCTCTAGTCGAGGCTACGAAAATTAGAATTCATAGCTGTCTTTAGAGATACAAATCCTCTGCTCTGCCGAGGTTCGAACAACCTTTCGGTGTTCTGATTGCTAGTCGTGCGCTCAACCACTCCGCTATTCCGAGGAGGAAGACCGCATACAAATATAAATTCTTAAGGAATACTCGAAATAAATTGAATATAATGATATAATTTTTAACAGGGAATGGGAAATTTCATCCCCGGCTGCTTATTTCTGATCTGATTTCTTCTGCTGTGTAATTTTTGGTCTATTTATTACAGGGTGCTCCTTCAAACAACAACATAGTTGGTAGCTAATCTTGAAGGTTTGAGTAATTGAGAGTCGAAATTTCATAAGTTACATGGAATAACCCAGGAAACATTCGTTTGCGGTGAACTGAAAGCCCAATACATTGCTCCCATAACTAGATGTTGCGGCAAAATAACTGTCGTTGGTACGGGGCCATCAAGAAAAGGGCCATTTTGGCCGACGGTTTCCAGATGGTCAATCAGCCAGCATTCATTCCATTCTTACATTTCCCCGACACATACTACATGAATTTTGATACAAAATACAATACGAGCAACATCAGATCTCATTTTGATAGAGATTGGTAGGTACAAATCTGGGATGACTCATTCGAAAATGTAGCTAAATCACGAAAACATTCGCCTAAATTCGCAAGTATTTCACCTTTGGCACGCTTTTTATGCTCGCTTGCTCGCTTGAGTCGCTTCGCTAGCGACTTTTCTAGTGAAGTTTTGTGAAATATTATTCAAAGCAGTTGGCCACACTGGAGGATCGCTCTTGTCATCCTGGTCCCGTGTCATTTGTCATTTTCGTTTGGAACACGATTTTTGTTTTTCGTTTTCGCGGTGTTTGATGTTTTGTGTTTACAGTGGTGTTTTCACTTTTCCCATCTTTTCTTTTCCCACTTCCCAGTTTTCCCTCTCCTCTATTCGTGTTGGGATGTTCACTGAAATCTGTATCCTTTTGATTGTGATTTTTGATAAATAATAATTTCGACCGAGGTTGACTTCCCTGTTGACTCAATATTGTTTCAGTGATCAAGCAGTTTTTCATAAGGTAGTTTCTTCACTTGAAAATGCTCTGTTCATAAATATAAAGGTTAAAGAATTTGTTATCTTCTAGTTGGATTATTTTTCGGAATTCGAGAGTTTATTAATGAACAAAATATGCCCGCATCAGTGCGACCCAAAGGGTCAGGTAGTAGCAGAAATACGACTGTAGCCCCAATGTCTGAAAGACAACAAATGGCTTTGTTGATGCAGATGACGTCCAGCTCCAATGAGACGGGTTCGAGAAGCCCCAGTTCAAATTCTCGCTTGAGGGATCGCAATGAAAGAGGTGAAACTCCCTTGCATTTAGCGGCTATTAAAGGGGACGTTGAGCAAGTGTGTAAATTGTTGGCACATCGTGCAGATCCAAATGTAGCTGATTTTGCTGGTAATTTCAGTTGTTCAATACTTTGAAAACACTTTCTCTGAAGGTATTGAGTAATTGTTGTAAACAACATTGTAATAGAATATGTTTCATGATGATGTTTTACTAGGTTCTTCAGATATTAGGTACACCCAGTCACATATTATATATCTGATAAAACTTGAGTGAACTGCAAGTAGTATTGAATTCCTGATTATAAATGAAAAAAATATTGCAAATCTAAAAATTATCAGAAATTGAATAATAAATTTTGAGATGGGGCATTTTCAAATGTGGAAACATTCATACTTATCATTCATTTCAAAATCAGGTTGGACCCCCCTTCATGAGGCCTGCAATCATGGGTGGTATGAAGTGGCTTACAGGTTGGTACAAGCTGGAGCCAATGTCAATGCCAGAGGCCTAGATAATGATACTCCTCTTCATGATGCAGCCATAAATGGCCACTTGCAACTAATCAAACTCCTAGTTGAACATGGAGCTGATATTCATGCCAAGAACTCTAAAGGGAAAGCTCCTTTGGATGTTGCTCCACCCATGGTTAAACCATACCTTCTGAACACCAACTTGCCTCTGCCAGGTAAGGTGCTAGATTGGTAGCATATTTTCATTCTGAATATTTCTTTTATCACTGTTGAATATTTTACATGACCAATCATTCCAAATTTTTTCATAAGTTTAATGGTTCAACATACACATGTGCAAAGAAAAACAGTAATGGTATAATATGTGATAAGCATACTGTCTCAAAGTGGAGTAATTTCATTAAAGGAAGAATGAATGCCCAATACCATAATTGACAAAGAATGCTTCCCTGTACTATATGACTATGAAAGGTGGTTTCATGGCATACATTGTACTAGCCAAAATTCCCATCCCCCTTTCTATATTTATAAAATAGTTGTACTAAAACTTATGACATTGAGAATATGGAACATGGGCATTGATAAATGTGAACTCCTTTTCTAGTGGTTACTAAACTATGTGTGACCTATATCTTCACATGAGATTGGTTGAAACAGCCTAAATAATGTTTGAATAGGTCTTTGTAATACCATTTAAAATCAAATAAAATGAGATATTACTTGCCATAGGGTCATCATATTTAAGGTTATAATTGGCCACACCAACACTGTGATGTTATCTACTATGGTGATTATGTCATGTCACCTCATACATCTTTGAAAAAGATTCACACCCATCATCATCCATTTTATTTCATAATTTAAATTCCATAAGTTTGAGTGATTGTTTATGTACTTTAAAATTAGTGAATATTTGATTTATTAGAATTTTCGAAATTTCCCGGAAAAATAAGTAAAATTAGGATGTACTAGTGAATACCTACCTGCCTTGTTATCTAATGAAAATTGTTTATGGTGATTATAAGTCCATTTTGCCATTCATCTTCATTCCAGGTATGCATTAATTCATTTCAAATGCTGATTTCAAATACCAGATAATTTCTACAAACAGTGTTGCCACTTTTCTAGAAAATTACCATTTTTAGAGAATTCAGACATTTACAAAATTATAACTCATCAAAATGATATTTGAGAAAAATTTGATGGCCACCATAGCTCCAAAAGAAATAATCACTCTAATGAGCTCATTTATTTAAAATAAAATAGGAATTAAATAGTTATTTATTACACAATACCTTTTTCTGCAGCAGGAAAAATGATGATTCAATATTGAAAATGATAATTCAATATTGAGAAAATATTGAATCTGAAAACTATCAATGAGAAATTTTTAAGTTTTTGAATGGTAGATTATACGTATACTGAGAAAAATCAACCATCCAACTAAGGTTAGAATCAAAATGGCGCCTGGTTAGCATCTTATATAAAATCGATAAAATGATGTTACTAGAACAATTAAATAGTTAATGTTTGTGATTTTCTGTAACTTATGACTAGTACTTCTGATACCAACAGGGATTTGCATATATACAAATTTTTCACAAAAATAATTTCATTGTGTGCCAACCAGGGTATAGTTTGACAGGTCATTGGGATTGCCTAATTATTAGACACTAGGTTCCTAAGGAAACCTCTAACCTCTTAGGAAACCTTTTGAAATAATGAAATATTTGTCAATTTAATTCTCTGAATTGATTTAGGAATTGCCAACTTAGTGATTGTTCAGTAGTTTATGAAACCTCATAGATATCCAAGTTCTATGCAATGGAAGATGAAGTTTGCACTTCTTTCTCAGAGACGGTGTTATTGTCTTATAATTAGGAACAGGCACAACAACAATGGTTGAATTTGAGCAGGTTTTCACGGTATTTTCATCCTGTATCACTACTTCAATCAATTAACACCAAAAAAGGTCAAATAGCGATAATTTTTCAACATTTGTAATGTCATTTCCATCGAGTATTGAATCGCCGCCACGGATTTCTCTATCATCATTTTGTCTGATTCAATCATGAATATTCATACAAATACAACTAGTTACACTATTTTTCTAAAAATATTTGCCAATTGACATACCTTCACCAGCTTGTCTATCCCAAAGGCATGTAAATACATTGAATTTTATCAAATGGTACCTGTGCAAGTCACTATCCGGCCATTATTCCGGACATACTTCCATCATGTGATAACAAGTTGAAACAAAAAGCAAATGAAAGCAGATAATGTCCTTTTTGCATATAACCAAACGTGCTGCGATTCAAACTGCTGGGTTAATGTTAGAGCGTCAATATTTCCGTGAATATTTCGCCCCTCTCGATAGATAATATCTGACGGACCGGTATATACATGGTGTCCGGAAATTATGCGCAAAAAATCAAAGGGGTGGTTCTACATGATGAAATAATAAATTGTTTTTATATGCACATGGGTCCGGAAATGCATAGCTTTCAACATAGAGTGTGTTAGAACTTTCGAACAAGATCGGTTTTTACCAATTTCCTCGAAATTTGGCAATGATATTCTTTGTCATAAGGGGCTGATATAGCCATAATTCAATTGGAATTATAAAATCCAGTGGCGTCCCGGGGTGCATCCTACCGAATATTATTGTCAATAAATTGTGCGCAACCGATTTTTTTGAATTCTGTATCTTCATAACCTATTGACCAACTAAAAATACAACATTTTGGACTCTTGAATTATTTTGATAATTTGCTTCATTTCCATGGAAAAAAATAATTACCAATTTATTGCATAAATTTGTGCCAAAAAAATTCCTTCAAAAGCTGAGGTGGAAATAAATGCGGCATCAATGTCCATAGATAGAGAATAAGTATGAAGATTCATTTTCTACAAATATTCCTTGATACATGTTTGACACACTCTACACTCTACACTCTGTATATTGAGAACTATGTATTCTCGGTCCAGGAAGGCGTAGTTTTCGATAATACAAAGTGTGTCAAACATGTATTATAAAATATTTGAAGAAAATGAATCTTAATTCTCATTCTACGTCTATGGACATGGATAACACATTTAATTTCACCCCTGTTTGTGAAGCAATGTTTTGCACAAATTTATACAATGAATTAGTATTTATTTTTTTCCACGGAAACGCAGCAAAATTGCAAAACAATTCAAGAGACTGAAATGTTGTATCTTTAGTTAATCATTTGGATATGGAGATAGAGAATTTGAAAAAATCAGGGGCGCACATTTTATTGGCAAAAATATTCAGTAAGGTGCCCCCGGGACGCCACTGGATTTCACAATTCTAATTTAAAAATGGCTAAATCAGCCCCTCATGACAAAGAATATCATAACCAAATTTCAAGAGAATTGGTGAAAGAATATTCGAGATATTCATAAAAAAACGATTATTTCTAAAACGTTTAACACACTGTATCTTGAAAACTATGCATTTCCGGACTCAAGTATATATGGATAAAATTTCATGTTTTCTCATGCAAAATCACCCCCTCGATTTTTTGCGCATAATTTCCGGACACCCTGTATAATAACACTAAAAAACACGGTTTTGTAGTTAGTCGAATTGAATAATAGAGAATAAATATTATTTAAAAAACTAAACAAACACCCTTTTATAGATAGCCAAACTAGAAAGAAGTATAGAAAATGAAATAATAAACATCATTGAATAATAATATACTGATTAGGGAGATGCTAATATTTTCTATGTGTATTTATCAACACACATTTATTATTTTATTTTCTACTTTTTAGTTTGGCTATCTATAAAATGGTGTTTCTTCAGTTTTTTTAAATTACTCTTAAAAAAAAACTCTTTATTTCTAAATAAGTGAAAAACTAAATATTATATTGTTCCATAATTTTCTACCGCTTTTGGAATGAATACTGAATACGCAACTTTTTCCTCATTTTACCGAATTCGTACCTATCACGAAGGGCCGTTTTCGGGATTCCCATGCTGTGCAACCTTATCTCGGTCACACTGTATAATTTTGGATGTTTTCGATATTCCCAAGGGGACAAATGCCCCCATTTTCCCCGTGTAACCGACGCCTATGACTTGCGCTAATTCAAAAATGAGAAAAATATGAAATCGGGAAAAACCATAATTGCAGTCTGGCAACGCCGCGAATCATAAATCCTGTTGGAATCTCGCCGATCGCGCTCGTGCTCGATTAAAAGTCGAAAAGCGCGACAAAGCGTCGAGAGATCTCGACAGGCAAGGCAAGTGCACACAGGCGGCCAGATGCAGCGTCGAGCATCGCAGATACACAAAGGTATGTTACCAAAAAAGAAAACAAAAAAGGAGAATATCCGCCTTGCACCTTGTCTCGTCGCTGCCGTCCGGCCGCTTTGCTGTCGTTATCGCAGTTCGTGATTCACTGTTGTTTCATGGCTGCCATCGATCCGGCTCCGGCTCGCCTATTTGATTCTCACGACAGCGACGGTGTGTTCTCTTCGTTGGCTCACCTCCGGCCTTCGATAATTGAATTGGAAACTAAATGGCTGTTTATTAGCTCGCGGACGACAAGACGGGCCGATTTTTTGACGTTGGGGTACGTGCAATCTCAGAATATTATTCGAAAATCGGAATGATCGGCTCTCTTGATGGTGAACCGATTATGTTAACGTTGTCCTTTTGTTTATATCTTTACATGGCTACTTTGGGAATCACCTGTTCCAAGAGTTGTTAGGAATAGAGATCGGGTTGCTTAGGACCAGCATAAATAAGGGCGGTTGGCACGTCACAGTTTGCATTATATAGGGTGATTGATTGATAACTGCCATCAGCTGTATTCAGGAGCGTAGCTAGGTTTCTTACATGGGGCATTTCTACAAAAAGTTTATTTAACATGGAATCTTCCTGTAGGTTTTGAGGAAACAGCGTGAAACACACAGCGATACATCAGTACTGTCATTGAGATACTTTTTTATTGATCTTTATAAAAAAATTCTTAGTTTTTTTCCTTCAAATTTCTTGAGATTGCCAATCTGGGAAAAATCTAATTTTCAATTTGAAGGCGTTTGATCCTGAACCTCAAAAAAATATCGTTCTATCATTTCCGGTTTCACTGGATACTACCCCAACTTTTGATTTTCGAAATAATCGGTTAGGGATTATCTTGACGAATTCAACAATACCAGGTTTCATAGGGTTATT